GTGAGCCCCACGGGCCCCCCGCGGGCATTTTGAGGGTTCAGCCTAAGGGCACGATTTCAGCGGGCAGCCTGTAAGCCCCAACATTGCACCCCAGGAGTTGCAAATGTCAGCATTGCCCCGCTGTGAGGGACACCCACACCCAGGGCTTGGCTTGCGTGCACATCAAGGGGTGCCACTGTACACCACAGCCCCCATTCTGTGTGCTCCCCCCAGGAGGAAAACCCCAGCAAGGGTCGAGGGCTTCTCCGAGCAATATTTGCCCAGCTTTGGCTTGGCTCGGCCTCCACTGCACAACAGGAGACTGTCGAAAACAGAGGATAAGGCAAAAAGCCTTCAAGGTCTTCTGACTCCGCACGCCGGTAGAATAAAAGGCTCCTTTGGCAGGCACGCATCCTGCTACAGCACCGGGCAGAGGCACCATCCCCAAGGGAGAAGCGGGTAACGGCCACGCCTCTCACACCCCATCCATCAGCTCAGGCGGTGAACCCTAAAAAGCTTCAAGAGGATGAGGATGGGATCCATCCTCCCCCGCACAGAGCTCCCGTTCCAGGCTGGATGGGGTGGTGGGTTAGGAGACAATAAGGGTGAGATTAAAAATGCAGAGGTAACATTTCCCTGGTGGAAGAGTCTATCTAGACTGGTGTTCTTCACCCCAAAACAAAAGCGGTTTTTCCTTGCTTATTTGGCTCTTCCCTTTAGCAAGTCAAATGTTCTTTTAGAAGAAAACATTCAGCCCTCCATACCAAGACGCTCGAGTACTCCGAGTGATTTTAAATAGCTGCTTAATTTCACATGAAGTGGAACGTTTTGCTGAACACAATGCTGCTTCCCAAACAGAATCACAACTGTAAATGCAGAGCAGCAAGTGTAAACGTTACCACTACGCTGCAGGATAAGCAGAAAACTGAACAGAAAGCCCCAGTAGATGCAGGCAACCCAGAAACTCAAAAATAACACTAGCAGTTGAAAAAGGAGCTGGTTTAATGCAGAGTCCCATTAAGAACGAGGCTGTGAAGTGCATCGGGGCTAAACCCAGTCACCTAGGATCCAGCAGGTTACTCTGGGCTAGGTTTAGTTAAATCACAACCTGAAAACTTCAACAGAGGCAGATGGATCAGTTAAAGCAAAGATTTGAAACCCCTAGTCTCTCCCTACAGTTCCAACTCCCTCAGAAATAAAATAAATAATAGTAATTAAATAATCTCATGCCCACCATTTCCCTCACCCCCAGCCAGGACTGGACTAGAACTCCTCTCCCCCAGGGCCAGTGCCTGGCACTGCTGTGATATCAAGCCTGCCCTGAACAAGATACCATTTACCAGGCTACAAAAACCCATTCCCAATTAGCATCATCCTGTTATTAGTTGGCGGGTGACATCTACTGGTGGGCTGCAGGCTGCAGAGGGCCTCAGGCCAACACACCCAAACCTGCTGAATTTTCTGTCTGCAGAAAAGAATTTGTCTCTCAGCCCAGATTTACTGCGTTACTGGGAATTACTAGAAATGAGCGTCTTCCTGGGCAGAGTAGAAAAGCTGCCTGCAGCGCTTCTGCATTGCCATGAAGCAAGGCTCCTCATTCCTCCCTAAGAATCACCTCTACACACTAGCAAAACCCTGTATCAGTAACCACCAAACCTACAAAATTCCCCCCTGCAACCTGTTTTCCAATCACAAGTTACTGCACTACTGTTGTTAGACATGCCAAAGATTTGAGTCACTTCTCTGCTACGTGAGCTCTAGATTTACGCACTTAAATAAGACACAGTGATGCAACCCAGGTGGCATTTTCACCTATTTTATTATACACAAAACATGAGCAGGAAGTTCTACTGAGGAGGCTGACCACGTCCACGACCAAATCCACCTCTCTGCAACAGAAAAGGAAGAGCATTAGAAGTCACTGTATTAAGCAAGTGACAGCGGCAATTACACAGCAGGAAGAACCACCACCATCGTAAGAGAGCTAGCTGTCCTTCCTCAACTTGGCATGACTTTGATAAGCACCCCCTGCTCCAAGCATAGCCTAACTCTGACCTGTCTGAGACCAGCTACCTGACACAGGTTAACCAAATGAGTGAGTCTAAGAAGAAAATCAACCCATTCTAGCTAGCTCTGTGCTGGAAACTTCCATTTCTGAAGTATAAAATCATGCATTTCTTCCAGAGAGCTTGGCTGGCTTCTCAGATGTGTCACTGGCCTCCTGTCACAGCAGCGAGGCCACCATGTAGGTTCCCCAACGGGAATGCAGCGGGCAAGCTGGGCATAAAGGGAAATGGTTCCCAGCCTCTCCCACACAGTCAGAGCCAAATAGCTAAGCCCAGCTGGCACACCTGAGGGGCTCCACACAGAAGAGCATCCAGATACAACCTATCCAGTTTCTCCTAATGAAAGCCTCAATAAAGGAAGCAAATCTAAAATGAAAATACTCACAAACTGGAATTCAGTGGCAGCTCCAGCACCAGCCTCAGCCTTCTTGTCAGCACCAGCTAAAGAGAGAGACAAATGAGTTACTAACCAAAGAATATGCTCCCCAAGTACAGTGCTCCTGCCTGGAATCAAAGGTTTGCAATCAAAGATGACTAATTGAGGCAAAATATATAGCACAGTAAAATAGCTATTATTGAGACTGTTAGTTACAGAACCCACCCCAGAGAAAACCCACACAGTCCAGCTTGACAAAATTCAAGGAAAGAATCATATCCATAGGCAGATACAGATGGACTCTGCTGCGTAAATGCTTCAGCTACACCAAGAGTCTCATTTTCCCCTCTTCTTCTTGAAAGGAGGCCAATACTGAAGACAATTCTCCCAAAGAGATAACCTGCAAAAAAAGCAAGGTCAGCCTGATAGTGGCCACAGCAACACAATGGACACTCACGTGGAACAGCGCTGCGTCTGTACGTATCCCTGTCAGCTTCTCCCCGAGTAAGACGTGCAGGGCGTTCACCTTCCAGACCTGGAAGTGAAAACAGCAACATCAAATACATCGCTTAGCCAGGACACAAACAACTTATTCCATGGGTGACCCTGCATCTCAAGATGGGAAAAAAAAACCCTCCAGTTAAGCATTAGATCTACCAGCAGAGCTGCACCTTAGACAGCTCAGTGTATATAAACCTAAACAAAAAAGTGATACAATCAGGAAAACTTCACTTTAAGGGTGAAATCTGCTAGAGTGCACCAGCTTGTGCTTGGGTTGAAGTTACAGAATGTGAAAAATGGATTTACAGCATCACCTCAACAGTCTTCTGGCCTTCAAACAAGAGCCAAAAATTAACAATAATAAAAAAAAATCAGAAATACAGGGAATCTGTCACACCCGACAAACTTGTTCGTAGCTAAGTCACAAATTGCACGACATTCTGATCCCAACCTAAAATACAGCTACACTATCAGTATCACAAATCCTCCACAACGGAACAGATTAGTAAAACTAAGAGCAGATTATCTATGTAACATCAGATTAATATCAGACAGAACACTCGCAGGAAAGAAACAGATGTGGTGGAACCGCCAGCCTTTGCACCACTCTTACAGGGTTCGCCCCATGCATCAAAGATAAAATACGCTCCCGCAGCACCAAGCCAAGGTCTTCATACTTGGGTAATATCACATTTAAGGGCAGTTGCTGCCTGGCGCACCACAGTGTACTCGCAGACTCAGGCATGCGGCAGGAAACAGGAATCATGCACTTCTAGAGGCTCGAGTTCTACTACAGGCACTGGCTTTCCCATAGAAAAAACAGGTCTTATAATAGTTTCTTTTATTACAAAGAGAAACACTACCCAGCGATGTGCAAACAGATTAACTTATCCCACAAGTGCTTCCATGTCCTTCCTTTCCATCAGGTTAAACTGCTATAGCACATTTCCTAGCCAATGGATATTTTTCTTTTTAAAACCTCAGATCTATCCATCCTGAATTTCTAACAGTCCAATTACATCTGTAACAGAGACAAATTGCAAATATCAAATACACAGTAGTATACAACCTGCTTTAGACTAACTGTTCAAGCCTTAGTACCAAGCCTTAGTACCAAGCCTTAGTACCAAGCCTTAGTACCAAGCCTTATGAGAAAGTTGGTAGCACTGCATGGAAGTAGCAAAAAGTCCCCAAACCCCCAAGGGGTCAAGCAAGACCCGTAAGCTTGGATTCTGCACCACCATCCAGACACCCCTGCAACTCCTCGGCTGCTGCAGCCTAAGGTGGGTAAATCCACAGAGAAACAGCACAGAAACAGCCAATTTGTGCAGCCCTACCAGCTAACCCTGCCAAGGTGCAGACTGAATGAGGTCACCGGCACTGGACTGAAAAGGGCTGTGACGCTGCAAAGCGAAGCGTCCTCACCACAGAAACCCTGAGCAAACTTTAGCCAGGAACTGGAAGCCCCACCCTTCCATTAGATATGCAGTTTCTTTAGCTTGCTGGATAAACACAGCATCTAAAGAATACATTTAGTAACATCCAAAGCTACTCAAGAGATCAAAGAAACCATCACCTTCCTAGTTTCAATGCAATTCTTGCCTCTGAAGCAGATGATGCTACAGTTTTGTTAGGCTAAAAAACAAGTTGCAGGAGATGGAGGTGAACTCCTCAGCACCCCATGCCCACAGGGTCGATCCCCAGTGCAGCGTCCAGTACTTGCTGCCGGGATGCGACACAGCTCAGAAGCAGGAGAAGTAGACTCCTACCATCCACCAGAAAGGGCTTTGTCACACGGGACTCCCCTTTCACAAAGCAAATTCAGCTTTAAGGGGAGGATGACATCCTACAGCCTTATTCTTGGTAAACATGAAGCAGCTCCACACAGGGCAGACAGGCCCACCACCTCCTGCCTTAAGGAAGAAGAAACATTTGTCGGCCCTTGACACCTGGCAATGCTGTCCTGCCAACCACAGCTGCAGTCATTTTCTCTCTCCTTTCTTTAAGTTTCCAGAAGTTTTTATCTCCCCAAAGATCTTCTGGGCAATTTTACAAACCATGTTGTTCTGCACTGTGGTGTTTCTTCTCTATTACTGGACAAGAAACCAGGAAAACCAAGCAGAAGGGATTTTGCAGAGCATTTCAAAATGCTTACAAGGAATGTAACCATCCTTCCTACCCCGAATTATTAGCCTGGAACACAGTAACCTTTTCAGAACGGAAGTGAGGGGCATGGTGGCTTCAGCACAGTCACCTCAAGTTTATTTATACTGCACCACTACACAACATGGCTCATCAGAAATGGTATCAAAATGGTTCCCAAGCCATTCATAGGCCAATACCAAGCATTCGCAAAGAGAAAGTGGAGCTTCTGCCTTATGTGGACTAAGCAGGCAGGTTTGCAACCCAAACGTTATTATTTAATATTGCTATTTGCAACCAAAGAAAACCTTCTGGAAATACATTTCAGCCATCTGCAGGCAGGTCTACAACACATTTTGCAGGGAGGCACCTGCAAAGAGGCAGCTGCGGGCAATCTGAGAGGTCAGCAGCAGCAACACGTCTGTTTGTATGACCAGCATCTCCTTCACTTTGGGGTACGAAAAACCCACCAAGAAAAAAAAAAATCAGAACTACAAGCCCAGTATACTACATGTATTTGTTGTAAATCTTTTAAAAAGTGAAGGTAGCTTTAATAATCTGACTTGCCTAAGAGCTCGTTAAGTGTAGGTGCCAAGGCCAGGACTGTGGGTATCCAACTTGACTGCAGGTACAAGCCCTGTGTGAAGCACATCCAGCACCCAGGCTCAGCTTTCGCTTTCTGTCATCGAATCCTGTGCCCATCCAAGTTCAAGTTGGTTCCCTATCTCGGCAACCCTAGCCAAGGCCACTCAGCTCTTGTACAACAGCCTCCCCAGGTAGCTTGTCTAAGGATAGCTCAGCCAGAGAGAAGGTTCTCTGTATGTGCTGGACAAGATGGGCAGTGCACACACCATCTTCCTGAGAGAGAACCGTGGGGATTGCTGCAGGCTCTTCCCAAAAGACAAGAATGGGTTTTGAAAAGCCCTGGCAGCTAGGGACATCCCCCGTCTTGGACCTCAGCCATGCCTGGGCACCAACTGGTGCCTCAATCCACAGCCTGTGGTTTCCAGTAACTCCAGTCACTTGTGGTACCAGAGAAGGCCAAGTCCCACACTCAAAGCTTTTCTCCCAGTCAGTCTCACAGCCTTCTTTAACCCTCTCCAACTTTTCTGTAGGCCACTGGCCACCAGGCTAGTGGCAAATATAAAAGCAATAAAACCTCTACGTGCCTCCTCCACCTATTAATGTTTATACATCCAAAAAAAAAAAAAATCACAGCAACTCACACCAGCCTGCTCTGGAAGCTGACGTTCAGCTCGCTATCCACTGCACCGGCGCTGCCAAACACACTCAGCCTCATCCCCCACTGCCTCAGCGGCCGCCTCTCTGCCTCCACTTACCTTTGGGCCGTGGTCTGCCAGTCTCTGGGCGGCTCCGGCGCAAGGTTGCGGGGACGATCTCAGGAGGGAGGTGAAGGTAATCGCGCAGGTACTGGATGCCCTCGTTGGTCAGGTACCAGTAGAAATGCCTCCACGCAAACTGCTCTTTCACATAACCGCGGGATTTCAGAGACTAGGGAGAGAATTCTCAATTACTTCATGTCCAATCCTTATCATCATTCAACATCTCCCATCAATTCCCTCACCAGATGTTTTTATGCATGCAAGAGCTTATTGGGGAGTAAAAATTTAGAAGCAGATAAAAGTTCACATGCGCAGGACAACATTGCAGCATCATTCCCATTCTGTGAGAAAATACAAGGCTACTACACACAGAGGTGTCGTCGCTTCAAAAACAGATCTAGAGATGTGGATCCACAAAAGAACAATCTTCTGTGGTCTGTGAGGAACAAGAAATCAAAGAGGAAATATCAAAAATGGGGAAAATGGGGAAAAAACTGTAATAGGAAAGAAATGGCAAATGCAAGGCAATGTCTGATAATGTTTATTCACTAACGGCTGACGATGTTTATCCACAGGTACGCAACAATCTTGTGTGCCCAGGTCCCAGCTGGCCCCCACCTCCCTACCTGCATGGCTTTCATGACATGGAGGTTGGGCACATTCTTGTCGACGAGCTCGGGGTGCTTCGGCATGTGAACATCTTTCTTGGCCACCATCACCCCCTCCTTAAAAAGGAGTTCGTAGATGGCAATTCGGTTCTTCTTGGGCATCAACATCTAAACAACAGACAAGCAGTAAGTACTGCTGATTTAAAATAAACACTTTCAGGACCTTACCCCAAGTAGTAAGATAACCACAGTTTGCACGAAGAGCCTTACTTTTAAGTAACACCCCCTGGTCTACTGCCTCCTAAAAGAACTTTCTGAACTACTTTTCAACTGCTGGGCATCCCTTCCCATCGCTTTTCTATGAAGGAAAACTGAGCGGTCCAAACTTTTAATTCGTAGCATTAAATTCCATCGCCATATTAAAGACCGTCAACTATCTGACGTCAGTCAAAATGAGACAAGAGCTGGCGCAGGTGGGGCAGAGACACAGCTCAGGGCAAGGTGTGTTTCGGCTCTGCTGCCAGCGTCAGAGGTCTGAGGACACTTGTGCTGCTGTTGTTAACTCAGGCTTTACTGAGGGACTTGGAAGGCTCCCACGCTCCCCGCTCAGAGCCGGGAGCAGGGCCAGGCCGCACACCTCGCTCACAGAGGAGCAGGCCCGGGGCCCGTAAGCCCGGCCCAGGCCCGCGCCCCCTTCCATGTCCCCACTCGTGTCACCTCCTCCATGTCCCCACCACAGACACCCCCCTCCACGTCCCCACTTGTAACATCCCTTTCCATGTCCCCACTCGTGTCACCCCTTCCATGTCCCCACTCGTGTCACCTCCTCCATGTCCCCACCACAGACACCCCCCTCCACGTCCCCACTTGTAACATCCCTTTCCATGTCCCCACTCGTGTCACCCCTTCCATGTCCCCACTCGTGTCACCTCCTCCATGTCCCCACCACAGACACCCCCCTCCACGTCCCCACTTGTAACATCCCTTTCCATGTCCCCACTCGTGTCACCCCTTCCATGTCCCCACTCGTGTCACCTCCTCCATGTCCCCACCACAGACACCCCCCTCCACGTCCCCACTTGTAACATCCCTTTCCATGTCCCCACTCGTGTCACCCCTTCCATGTCCCCACTCGTGTCACCTCCTCCATGTCCCCACCACAGACACCCCCCTCCACGTCCCCACTTGTAACATCCCTTTCCATGTCCCCACTCGTGTCACCCCTTCCATGTCCCCACTCGTGTCACCTCCTCCATGTCCCCACCACAGACACCCCCCTCCACGTCCCCACTTGTAACATCCCTTTCCATGTCCCCACTCGTGTCACCCCTTCCATGTCCCCACTCGTGTCACCTCCTCCATGTCCCCACCACAGACACCCCCCTCCACGTCCCCACTTGTGTCAAGCCCTCATCCTCGCACAGGGACCGACACCAGCGCTGATCCTGACACCCCCCCCCCCCACGTCCCCACTTGTAACATCCCTTTCCATGTCCCCACTCGTGTCACCCCTTCCATGTCCCCACTCGTGTCACCTCCTCCATGTCCCCACCACAGACACCCCCCTCCACGTCCCCACTTGTAACATCCCTTTCCATGTCCCCACTCGTGTCACCTCACCCATGTCCCCACTTGTGTCACCTCCTCCATGTCCCCACCACAGACACCCCCCTCCATGTCCCCACTTGTGTCAAGCCCTCATCCTCGCACAGGGACCGACACCAGCGCTGATCCTGACACCCCCCCCCATTTTGGAAGGGAAGGGGCTCTGCGGATGGGCGGCGAGCCCAGGCCTGTGTCTGTGCTGGGGCATGAGTGATATCCCCCCACAGCTCCAGCCATGGCCAGGCTGTCCCCAACCATGGGACGCTTCCTGATCCCACCCTGGGGGGTACCGGGGCAAAGACCCCCCAGCTCTCCCAGGCTTCCTTGCCCCTACTAGCAGCTGCTCCGCACCGGGCACCAGTGGCCATTTCAGGGTGGGGGTCTCACTCCCCTTAGCCCAGGAGCCCTGAACCACTGGTGCCGGTGTTCCGCCGCAGCACCCCAGCCATCACCGCAGCCCGTCCCCCTGGCCAGGGCCCTGGGGGAGCTGTGGGTCCCCCCCCAGGCTGCTCAAGGGCTCGGGGCTCACTGGCAGGCACACAAAGTGCCCTTTGTGCCCCAAAATGCCTGGGCAGGAGATGGGGGCCACCTGCAGCCCACCAGCCTGCAGCACCTCCAGCCAGGCTCTTGCTCCAGGAGGGGATGTGGTGGCCCCAGGCAGGGTACAATGGGGGGACCGGAGCTGTGTCCCCTTAGGGCCACCCTGTGCAATGTTCTCCCCCCCAGACCTTCCTGCTCCTGCCTTCTTTGGAGGTTTGAACACCCCAGGAGTGACAGGAGCCAGCGCCCGCGGCTGGCAGGGGGATACGTCCCTGCTGCCCACTGCAAACACCCCGGACCCAGAGGGGCTTTGCCACATGGCACCCCCTGACCCCCCTCTGGATGGGGAGAGGAGAGGGGAAGGGAGGCTGCAAACAAACGCTTGCAAGGGAAGAGAAGAGTGGGAGGGGACAAAAGCACATGGAGGAGCACGGGGAGGCTGGGGCCCCCCCGCCACCGCTGCCGGCTGGGCCACGCGGCGCTCCCGGCTTATTGCCATCCATCTCCGCAGTCATGTTTTCACCTTGTGTGGCCAAGGAGTCGTTACGCCGGGCCAGCCATTGGTTGGCTAAAAATGCCTCCCTAATCTCCGTGCTGATCTTTACCCCCCTCCTCCCCATCTGCCGTGACCTTCCTGCCAATGTGCAGAGCCAGCCCCGGCGAGAGGCAGCCAGCCCGCTCCGCCAGCGTCCCCACGTCCCAAAGGTACCGCCATGTGGCTCCCGGCAGATTTTGGGCTGACCCTGCTCCCGGCGAGGCAGGAGGTTGGCGTCGGTGGGTTGGCCGGGGCTTGCTGCGGCGAGGGTTGCCGACATACGGCGGGTTACGGTGTCCCCAGGTGGCAGATGGGATGCCGGGGCTCGGTGCGATGTGACAGCGCTGTCACCCTGCGTCCCCTCCAGTGGTCCCCGGCTGGTGGTGGGTTTGAAATGGGTCCCTGCACCGTGCTGGTGCTTGCTTGCTGGGAAATTAAACCGGCTTCAGCAGAGCAGCTCCCTGACCCATTTTAAGCGATTTCCAACTTCAGCCGGATTGTGCCGAGTAGGGCTCGCCATCCGCTTCGGATTCCCCCCCCCCATTTCGGGTTCACATGTTTTTCCTGGCCTTGCGGCGTCTCTGGCAGGGTGGGAAGGCAGTGTGGGTCCCGCAGGTCCCTGCCCAGCCACCTACACCTCCTGGGGGAGCTGGGGTCTGGTATGAAGTGGCAGCAGGAGGCAGGGGTTTGGCAGGGGTTTAACAGGGGTCCAGCAAGGGTCTGGTAGGGGTCTGGCAGTGGTCTGGCAGGGGGCAGAGCTTCTGGGGGCTCACAAGACGTGGCACCATGGGGCTGGTGGGCTGCAGCAGGCACCAGCCCTCCCACATGCTGTGCCCATTAGCCCCATAGCCCACCCAGGCACCCAGGGCTCCTGGGGGGCTTCAAGGGGGCTGCTGACCCCGCCCCCAGGGATGCCCCAGGGCCACGCTGGCCCTGCCAGGCGGGGGGCTGGCACTGCTGGTGGATCAGCAGCTCCCAGCTCCAGGCATGGCTTCCCCCCAGCCCCCCAGGGATGCATAAGGGAGGGCTGGGACACCAACTGGGACCGCCTGCAGCCGAGGCCCTGGCAGCAGCCATGCTCATCTTCACCCCCTGCCCCCCTGGGATGCGTTTGGCATCATCTTACCTGGTGAGGCTCCTGCTCCAAGCCCTGCGGTCGAAGGGGTTCAGCCTGCGCCGGCAGCCCCTGCCCAGCTCCTGGGTGCTCTGGGGCCGAGCTTGTGGCAGAGCCCCCCCAGAGCTGCCTAATCCCAGCAGCCGTGGGGGCATGGCCGGGCACCGCAGCGCCCGAGCAGCTGGCAGGGAGCTGAGGTTCTGCAGGCAGCTTAGGCTGAGCCCAGGCGCTGTCGGGGGGCTCTGCCTGCCCAGCTGCAGGCAGGGTCCAAAGCTCAACCCCTCCCAGCCCACATTTGCCCCCAGGGTGTGAGCTCTGGGGCAATAGAGCTGTGATTTTGGGGCTGCGCTAGGGTGAGCAGGGTGCTCGGAGGGACCACTGCCTGCCCCGTGAAGCTGGAGGGAGCAGCGGGGTCTCTGCGGGATGCACGGGGCTGGGGGACGCTCGTACCCACCCGGGGGTTGTGCCTGTGCATTTCGGGCTGCCCAGGCAGAGCTGGAGGATGGTGCAGCCCCGGGGCAGGAGGGGCTGAGGGATGCAGCACGTCCCGAGCTGCTTGGTGCCATCCTGGAGCTTTGCTACCATTTTATTGCCTTGTTTCTTCTACTCTGGGTGATCAGGGATGGAGCTGGGGGGAAGAAACCCCCCACTCAGGGCAGCCCCTGGGATGCTGCAAGAATTGCAGCAATCCCTGGGAGAAATGCATCTCCTGGCTCGTCCCACGGAGCAGGAGAGCTGCCCTGGCCCGCCTCGTCCTGCCGCGCTTGCCCGCCTCCGCCTGCCTCTCCTCTTCGCTGCTCTTGCGCCTGCCTTGGAAATGGCAAAGCAAGCGCTTTGCTAAACGGATTAGAGCTTCCCCGGCAGCCTCCTGGGCTGCTCCTGCTTCCCTCGGCCCCTGTGCCACCTCCCTCGGGCAAACCCCATCCCTAAGCCAAATATCTGGGGCAAGGCCATTGCCCCAGCACAGCTGGCACGGCCGGGGGACCGCACCACTGGCCCCAAACAAGGACTCGGTGCCACACCGCGGCTCCCATCACGCCTGATGCCAAAACCCTGGCTGAAGCCCTGAGGATCCTTCCTACCTCCTGGGATTTTGTGTTCCCTTTGCAGGACCCCAGAGAAAACTGGGGAATTCATCAGCCACTGGCTGACAGCGCTGACCCTGCCCCGGGGTCTGCACTGATCCATGACCCCCCCCCAGGCGGCGCTGGCCCCCTCCTCTCCCACCTCTCCCCAGGGTGCACAGCTGCCAAAGGGGCTGCAGCAGGATGGGAGCTGGATTTAACTGTAAAAGGATTGAGGAAAGAAAGCCCGGGCGGCGGGCAGGCATCGATTAGTGACGTGCACAGAAGCAGGGCGAGAAAGGGAAGGGAACATCAGCGCCGGCAAAGAGCGTCTGCACCGAGGCCACGTCCTGCAGCGAGCCAAAGCCTGGGTTTGGCTCCATGTGGGATCCCCCTTGCTGGAAATCCTGTGTCCCCAACCCTGCTGGTTTCCCTGGCCATGCCGGGAGGTGACGCTGCCAGGGCCGGGATGGAGCTGGGATGGAGCTGGGCTCCTCTGGCACAGCTCGGCAGGAGGAGGAGAGCTTGGCGAGTGGCTCTGCCCAGGGACAGGCTTTGTCCCCGCAGGGCGGCCAGCCCGGCTGGTGTTTCTGCAACACAGGACCCTGCCGTGCTTCTGCAGACAAGTCTTGGAGAAGGAGAGGCTGCATCCAGCAGGGGCTGAGTTGGCATCTGGCTGCCCTCGGCGTGGTGCAGCACGGGGGCGGGGGGGGAAGGAGGCATCGCGGCCCCAGCACCGCTGTCGCTGTGGCCATGGGCAA